GAATAATTTAGCTAATTAGATAGAATACTGGCTAGATGGAAGAAAGCAGAGGGGTGTTATAAATGGAGCTTAGTCAAACTGGATTGATGTTATGATGGGAGTACCTTAGGGCTCATTGTTTGGACCTTTGCTCTCTTTGTTTACTTCAGTGACATAGATGAAGGAATGGTCAATAATTATCTAAATTTGCTGATGACATTAAAGTTTTGAACATTGCTGGCTGTGAGGAGGATGCTACTGCCTTACAAAAGAACTTGAATTAATTGAGTTGGACAGGTGAATGGCAGATGGCTTTTAATTGTAATAATGCAAGGTAATGCATATGGGATATCACAATTTGAATTATAACTATAATCATTGAGTAAATATCTGGCCCAGGTGCTTTATGATTATCTTTTTGTTTTCTTAAAAAAAGCTCAGAATTAATGTGATTATCTTGTTCAACCTTCTTTCCATCTAGCAACTGTTCAGAATAAGAAATATCCTTCAAATCTTCAGCAGTAAAAACTGAAAAAAAAAGAATAATTTAATAACCCAGCCATCCCATAATCATCAGATATTAATCTTCCATTATCATCCCTCAGAGGCCCTACTCCCATCATCCTAACATTTTGCTTACCTTAATGTATTTGAAGAAATCTTTACTATTAATTATTACATTTTTAGCCAACCTCTCTTTCATATACTTTATTTCCTAATTTCCCATTTGACCAACTTTCTTGACCTTCTATAGTACTTCATAATTTTTCATCACTGAAGTCAATTTAAACTTTTTTAATTCTTTTCTTTAATTTTATCTTTTATACCCTTTGTGAGCCAACTTTATTTTTGCTTTGCAGCCATCCTTTTTTGTCTGTAAGAAACATGCCTATTTTGAATATAAAAAAAATATTTTTAAAACTTTTCCACATTTGATCTGTATCTCCAACTAATTCAGTTGCTTAATCCACAGCATATCTTTTCAAAATTTGCTGTTTTGAAAATTGGAATCAAAATCTCATCATTCAATATCTCCACATGCAGCAAAACAAACATAATTGAGCAATGATCACTTGTATACATACAAATGTTCCTTACTTTTACCCTATCAACCACTTCCTTATTAGAAGTCAATAATAAATCTAAAATAGCATTGTTCCTTGCAAGTTCCTTAACTGATTGTTAAAGAAAACCTCCCTGAATAGCTTGTAAGTCTCCTTCCATCATGGTTTGACTTCAACATTTCCCAATCTATATGCCTGAAATTAAAATCTTCAATAATTATAATCTCATTCTCCCTTTATAATCACTAACAGAAACCCAAACAGATTCCAACCTCATTGCTATTAGCTTTGATATCTTCAACTTGAACATACTTCAACTCGCACTTTACACATAAAGCCACTCCTCCCCCTCTTTTTTAGTACTCTCTCCCTAATAAACAATCTATAACCCTGTATTTCAAAGAAATTCCTTTCATCATAAATGTCTAAGTTTAGCCAGGTTTCAGTTACTCCCATTATATCAAAATCCTCTGCTATAACTAGTGCTCAAAGCCTTCCATTTTATTTGCTACTAGCATAAAAGCCAGCCAAAAAATGACAGGACAACACTGGAAACCAAAACTATTCTGTATAAAACTGACAATACACAAAAGAAAAATAAATATAAAATTTCCTCTCCAAGAAACATGCTATATATATATATATATATATAT